TTACTAGGCTCACAGAAGTAGATAATAGTAGTACAGAGAGTGTAAACACTCAGGAAACTGGTATTAAGGATTCTGTCAGTAAGAACAAGGGTATTAGTAAAGGAACAACACTTTCCTTACAGTAGGAAATGTTCCAGAAGGCCAGAAAGACATTCAGAAACGTCCCTAGGCTAGAGACACTGAAAGCTATGAGTAGGCTAGCCAGTCCATTCAATCAAGGAATTGATATCAAGGAATTGAACAAGAGAACTCATAAGTACAATGGTATGTATCAGGAACATGAAGGAAACATTGATTTGGACACAATCAATCCATCCAAACTAACTGGAGACAAGTTAGCTAAATGGATGTATCAGAAAGTACATTGTCAACACCCAGAAGCTACTAAGGGAATGCTCAAACGATTAGAAGATGCTCCACTGTTTGAAAGTACACATCCTTAGAAGAAAGATCCAGGTAAACCTGTACCTAGTAATAAGAAAAGTACAAGAGTGAATAAAGGAAAAGCTCCAGACATTCATAATTACAGTCAGGTAGAACTAGACAGTTCCAGCAAAGCAGATTCCAATGTACAAAGAATGTATTTTCAGGAGATAGAGCACAGACGAAATGCAGAATCAGGACAATGGAATTTCAGAAATGAAGGCTATAGTAAGGCTCTCAGAACTCCTCAGGAATTACCAGTTTGTTTCAAGCAAGAAACGTATTGCCCCAAGATAGAAAATCAAGGTAAGGACACATACTATGGATACAACACCCTAGCAGGGCAAGGAGATGCATTACAGAATAAAATACTTGCATATATGTATCATCATACTGATGTTCAAGGATCAACACATACACCCAGCACAAAACACAATATTAAAATGAACAGACCAAACCCAGACGTAATACATATGGTTCCAGATGCCTCTGATGACAGTGAAGACGAATCAGAAACTGTGAAAGGCAAAGAGAGTGAGGAAAAGAAATTCTACTGCAGTTCTGTACCCCCTATCAAGTGTAGTACAGATAGGAATAGTAAAGGCCACAGAAAAAGAACCACACAAGATACTGCTGAGCCACAAAGCTCGAA